GGATCGGGGAAGACGGCGGCTTTTCTTGTTCCGATGCTTCAGAAGCTGAGGGAGCGCGCGCCCGGTGCTGGGGTCAGGGCGCTGATATTGTCGCCGACGAGGGATTTGGCCATTCAGACCTTGAAGTTCACTAAAGAGCTCGGCAGATACACTGGTTTGCTCTTTTATTATTATTATTATTATCTTTTTGTTGATTATCTATTTTTGCATTAGGCATCACTGAAAATATTAGATTTTGCTGACAACATGCTAAGCATGTGTTAGTCTTTTTCATTTGAAAGAGAACGCTAGACAGTGAAAAAAACTGATTTTTGAATTAGGAACATATAGAATTTGGTGGCGACATGACAAAGAAATGTTTGAATTCACCAAGGAGCTTGGCGAATTCACTGGTCGCAACTCAGTTCTGGTTAGTTTTTTTTAAATATAATAAATCTTACGAACACTGTGATCTTTTAATGAAGCTACAAGATGGTGTTTATTCCCAACTTTTTTTTTCCTCCAACCTAGTTTTGTTAGGCCTACCCCTTAGGCCATGTTTAGTATATACTGCGCTGCAATCTTTTTCATGAAAATGAAAAAAATTCAGAATTTTGGAATTTAATATTTGAATACTAAAAAAGTAGATGGATTTAGGCCCTTACAACTGAGTTGCACTTCACGCCCCGAGACCTCTCAACACATGCCCACAACACCTTCTGGGTGTGTGACCTGTTGGACAGCATATGTACAATGAATCAATGATTGATCTTAATCCATGCACATATACTTAAGTCCTCAAACTGGATCTTTGTATAGACAATGAAACTGCATCAAATCGCAGGAAATCACAGTATAACATCAAAACTTGCAGAATTGAAGTTTCTTAACATGCTAAAACAGAGTCCAAGAAGCAACATATTAGCAACATGCAAACGATGTCACAATGTACCTGGTCCCTTGAATGTGGAACAACATCCTGAGATGTTTATTATCAAGTCTACTTCATAACTAGAGTTAGGTAGCATGAGATTCCACATCCTTGGGACCTAGCACACTGTTTATGGCATCGTTTGCCTATTGCTACCATATTGTTTCTTGGACTCTGTCTAACCATGTTTAGAGGCATCACTTCCGCACTATTTGCTCACAAGAAGTTTGAACTTGCAAGAACCTCTTTGATTTGAGGGACCAATATGCAATTATCAAGATTTAAGGGGACTAATATGTAATTTTGGTAAGGGCCTAAATGTATAAAATTCCTAATTAATACAACCCACGTAATAAAACTTCTAAAACCCTAAAAATAAAAAATAAAAAGCCCCCAAACCCTCCGGTATTCTCCACCTCAGGCGCCTCCATGGCCCCATCCTCGAAACCCTCTGCCGCCGACG